GCTCACCACGCTCTTGACGTCGGCCGGCGACAGCCTCCGCCGCTGGAACGTAATCACGGCACACCCGCCATCGCCGCGCCCGCCGCGCACCCCGCCGCTGCCGCCGCCGTCCCCCTCGCAGCCGCACTCCCGCAGCGCGTCCGCGAGCGGCTGCAGCGCGCCGGCCGGCAGCGCGCGCCACATGCCCCAGCGCTTCTCCTGCAGCAGCGCCGTGATGGCCAGGCCGAGGGCGCCCGAGGCGAAGGGCTGGGGCAGCGAGATCACTATCTCCCTCTCGTATAGGTTGCCTGCCGCCTGGCGGTCCGACAGCTTCTGGTGCTCCTTGGCCAGCTGTCGTTGTGGTTTGTGTTTGTTGTGTGTGGGGGGGCAGCGGGGTTCGGTGTTCGTGCTGGGGCCTGGCAGGTGGTCGGTCAGTGATTAATTGACAAGGGGCGGCAGTAGCATGAGGCCATTGTGTAGACCGCCGACCTGGCAGTTGCGCAGCTGCGACACGAACACACGGCGTCCCGATGCAGCAGCCCACACCCCGCGTGCAGCCGGCCCACCTTCTCAGATATCTTCGCGGCCGCCTTCTCCTCGCGCTCCCGCTGCTTCTGCTCCTGCTTGCTGCGCTTCGCGGCCGCCTCCGCAGCCCGCTCCTCGTCCGTCTTGCGGCCCCGCCGCTTGGGGCGCGCCGCGCCGCTGTCGTTCTCTGCGTCCCCGCCTCCCTGCGCGCCGCCGCTGCCCACTCCGCCGCTGCCAGCACCCCACTCACTGCCGCCGACGCCGCCCACGGCGCGCCGCGCTCGGGCGGCGCCCCGGCCACTGCCAGAGGGTGCGGCCCACCCCTCCATGCTGTCATAGCCGCCAGCGTTGGCGCCATCGTCACCGCAAATGACGTAATCATCATCCTCATCAAGGGCTGCTGCTGCTCTCCGCCTCCCGCCGCCGCCCGATCCCTCGCGGCGCGCCGGCCCTGCCTCTGCCGCCTCCCTCTCAGCACACCCACCGCCCCTATCCGCAAGTCTGACGCCCGCCTCGGCCCGCCGCCGCCCAGCCGCAGGCAGCCGCGGCGCCCCGCCCACCTCGCCCCCGGGTTCCTCGTCGCTGCCGCTGCTGCTGCTGTCACTCGCCAGTGTCACCACCCCCTCCACCTCTGCTTCCCTGTGAGCGACGCTGAAATTGATGAAATGCTCATAAACAGGGTCCTGCTCCTGCATTCGGGTCCTGCTCCCAGGCTCCAGCCGCTGGCTGCCACCCCGGCCGCTCCCGCTGCCCGCTGTGCTGCCGAGCCACTCGAGCAGGCCGCCGCCGCCACCGGCCCGCCCGCGTGCTCGGTCCGCGGTCGCGCCCACCGGCGGCTGCACCTCTGACAGAGGCGGCCGCGCGGGCGCCTCCGCCCGCGGCCGCTTCAGGG